TATGGGTCTCTGTGGGGTCCCAATGGGGTCTCTGGGGGGTCTCTATGGGGTCGCTATGGTCTCTCTCTGTGGGGTCTCTCTGTGTCTCTCTATGGGGTCCCTATGGGTTTCTGTGGGGTCTCTCTATTGGTCTCTGTGGGGTCTCTCTATGGGGTCTCTTTATGGGGTATCTCTGGGTCTTTATGGGGTCTCTATGGGTCTCTCTATGGGGTCTCTATGGGGTTTCTATGGGTCTCTATGGGGTCTCTATGGGGTCTCTCTATGGGTCTCTATGGGGTCTCTATGGATCTCTATGGGGTCTCTATGGGTCTCTATGGGGTCTCTATGGGGTCTCTATGGGTCTCTATGGGTCTTTATGGGTTTCTATGGGTTTCTGTGGAGTCTCTCTATGGGGTCTCTATGGGGTCATTATGGGTCTCTACGGGGTGTCTATGTGGGCTCTCTATGGGTCTGTATGGGGTCTCTATGGGTCTCTTTGGGTCTCTATGGGGTCTCTCTATGGGGTCTCTGTTGGGTCTCTATGGGGTCTCTGTTGGGTCTCTATGGGGCTCTGTATGGGGCTCTGTATGGGGTCTCTATGGGTCTCTATTGGTCTCTATGGGGTCTCTATGGGGTCTCTATGGGTCTCTCTATGGGTCTCTCTATGGGGTCTCTCTATGGCTCTCTATGGGGTCTCTCTATGAGGTCTCTCTATGGGGCTCTCTATGGGGTCTCTCTATGGGTCTCTATGGGTCTCTATTGGTCTCTATGGGTCTCTATGGGTCCCTATGGATCTCTACGGATCTCTGTAGGTCCCTATGTGTCCCAGTGGGTCCCTATGGTGTCTGCCTATGGGGTCTCTATGGGGTCCCTATGGGTCCCTCTGTGTCCCAGTGGGTCCCTATGGGGTCTGCCTATGTGTCCCTATGTGTCCCTATGTGTCCCAGTGGGTCCCAGTGGGTCTCTATGGGGTCTGCCTATGTGTCCCTATGTGTCCCAGTGGGTCCCAGTGGGTCTCTATGGGGTCTCTATGGGGTCTCTATGGGGCTCTCTATGGGGTCTCTCTATGGGTCTCTATTGGTCC